TTCCCTGCTGTGGCGGGCAAAGAAAATGAGAACTAATTACACTTCACTGGTCCGCTAATTGAACAATTAAAAGTCCGAGCAGGAAATATTGTATTACATAATTGAGTCGTGGTGCTCGTTTTGTTCTGCATCATTAAAATTACATGGTAAACACAAGGTATGGAAGTTACATGGAATGCGAGCAGCAGAGCACAATAATTTGTTGGATGTAACCTTTTTACGTTCGTGTGGAATTTAAATGTAACACATACCTTAGATCCTAGTATATATTATATCTTAGAGAGGCTTAGCCTCTCTAAGATATCTATAGATTATATATAGCCTCTCAGAGGCTTTCTATAATTGGCGACTGATAAGTCATTATATTATATACCTTATGCGATAAATAATCTGATATTTATCTATCACCATTTAGAAACGTAACATGTCAACCGAAGAAATCTCTAACTCGTAAAAAAGGTTTGTAAAAAAGTCCATGACAAAGATCTCTGAATACGATAAATAAATAAATATATACGATAAATAAATAAATATGTAATATCTATGTATATGTAAATAAAAATACGAATAAAGTCAAATTACTACATAATTATGGATCTTATCGAGCTGGTATGAGGTCATGAGTAGTGGTCACAATATATGTGCAGCTGCTTAATACTAACAACCTACCCCTTACTGGGACACACAAAATATTAGGAATGTAATTTATGTTATTGTAACTTATACACATATTAGGAGTGTAATTTATGTTATTGTAACTTATATACGGGGCGAGCAGTTCCTTCAGTCCTACTGCACTGTGCAATTATGAAGAATTACCTGTTTTTATGTATTACTTTTTACATTTTCCATTATAGGGAACGCTACACAATCATCACTGTTTTCAAAATCGAATGTGAGTTATTCGAATGTGGATTGTGGTATTGAGAAAGCATGCATAATATTAAAATAATATCTATATTCTACATAGATGGACTTATATTATAACTAGTGTAACCCGGCCTACGGCCGGGATTTCACTGCCGCAGTTAAAAAGGGTAGGAGTAATTACCCGCTGAGTCAAAACCCGCATTAGGTGACCCAATAGTTTCTTAAACAATAATCTCATAATCAGTTATTTCTTGTGGATAATTAAGTCATTATTAGCCATGAGGCACCACACTCCATGATCATAAGGTCTGAACACCGAGTATTACACCTCATCACTCCCGTCTTGAACCGCTTTCTATTTTTATTTAAATCGTTATAGAAATTAACCCTTGTTAACTCCGCACCACACCCGCATATTATATTTGAAAACACGCATAACATTGTCGTATGAACTCTCTCTCTCTCTCTCTCTCTGCAGTCCAAACAGACCCCAAACACTAACAGTCCCCCCTCCCCTAATAAGCTTAAGGTATAACATTACAGCGAATCTTCCAGGCTAATCCAATTATGACGCTACTTAAATGCAGCTATAACATATTACACAGTAATGAGAGAGAGCAAGCCCCGTAACTCTTGCCGTTCTGCTCACGCAATTTTATGTAACATTTGTGGTACAAAACCATCAATTAAACCACTTACCATCGGCCGATTTTTAAAAAAATTTCCTATGGGCTTCATCAGAGTTTTGTCGACACTATACCGAAAAAATCAGTCCCGTAACTCTTACCGTTTTTTTTGTATAACCGACCGGAAATTACACACGGACAGACAGACAGACAGACACACACACACACACACATTCTGGTGTTATTAAGGTGATTATACTGTCCTGAGTTATTTCCTCAGACCGGCCCTCCTGCATGGTGATAGTCAATTTACACAAAGTAAATCTTGAACTTTACGAACCTTCACATTGGTCGGGCCTTACCAATAAAGTGCTTGACGACGCTAAACGAATTATTGGAATTAGCTCAGCAATATTTGGCCATTCCCCAATGCCCAATCTGGCTAAGTACCGTTTAACTTAGAGTACGTGTATTTACCTGAGTACGTGTATTTACCTGTTTTTAGAGTTGTGTCATCACATTATCACCGTGAGATGTTACCTTAAAAAGCGGTTTCATGTGGCAAATGCCAATCTCTTTGATGACCCTGTTGAGGTGGCAGCTCTAGGCGGATTGCTCAAATTGATGAAAATGTAAAGCCTACCAGCAAGGCTTATTAAAAAGTCTTGACGTGACATAATGTCACATGTTATATTCAGCACGCCACATATAGAAGCAACATATGAATTATGAGTGCTATGGGTACGGGATCGCACTATTGACTTAACACCGCACTTTTTCGCACCATCGCATCGGCCGTTATTCGTTCTATCAGATTTCTGTTCTTGATATCGCTGTGTACAATGAGATAAGATCGACATATGCCCTCGACATGCTACTCTATAAAATGCTACTCTATAAAATGCTACTCTATAAAATGTTCTGCCTCAATTATATTTACATCCAGCTCAACAAAACCTTTTATAAGGGTAATTCAATATTTTTACATCTTAAATTGTCAGGAAACTCCGTGTAAGACATTAACCTTTAGGGCCTGTCATGATCTCATGGATCGCTTAGGTTCCACCAGGATCTGGTAGTCCTCATAATTCTGCGGCCTCTATGTTTCGTCATCTCGCACAACTCTTTAAGAATCTTGTGGATTTGGCATGTGAAAATTTGCAGCCTTCCAGATATTGATTGGGTTAACGAGGTGTCGTACGTCACCTCAAGATCGGGTGACAGGGGGCTGACCAGGCCAGAACCCAATTGATTGGGTCTTAGGTCACGTGATTATGAGCCTGAGGTCACGTGACTATGACGTCACCAGACCTTCCTCTCCGTTTCCCGCTCATTGGACCAGGTGAGCTTGCATGCATGTGAATGTGGGTGTAAGTATAGCTGTACTGTAGTTTATACCTAATTAAACCCCTATAGAAACCGAAAATTTATTTTCTGGCAGAAAGCTAGAAATTTACCAAAATATCGTCATTGTTTTAAATTTATTTTGATGACCATTCCTGACCTAAAATCGCACGAGAAATCGATTAAACTTGGTTTCAGAAATCAACAATGCTTCCTTATGTCTTAAAATCCATGTTTTATCAATACAATCAATTTCTTAAAGAGTTGTGCGAGATGACAAAACATAGAGGCCGCAGAATGATAAGGACTACCAGATCCTGGTGGAACCTAAGCGATCCATGATATCACGACAGGCCCTAATTAACCTTGTAAGTTATTTGTTATATTAAAATTAACAATCATGTAACGGCCATCAAGGTTATATAATACTGTTACTACGCTGCTGAATAATCCAACCTGAGAGAACCTTAAGGCTGAAATTTGGCGAATTTTTCAGCTTAATTGTGGTGTTTTTGTCTCTAAATTTGCCGCACATAAAAGTGTTAGGCCGGTGCGGAATTGCATTACCCTCTGATCACATAACACACATTTAAACTTTCATTCTTTACGAACTAACTGACAATGCTGGCCGATTGATTGCTTTTTTCGAACGTTAAAAATGAAATTGCAATTTCAGGGAATTCCAATAACAGAGAGCAGTTGCTGTGTTAGTTGTGAAAGTACAATTACAAAGTACACTTACTTTCTATTTAGTAAGAGTAGCAAAATGAGCGCTACTTGTTTTTTTTTTTAAAAAGAAGTATCAAAAAGACTCGACTCAGACCAAAGAAGCCGTTGTAATTTAGTATAATCCATCTATACAGTTTTTAGGCACATGGGGTAACAAAAAGGGTAACAGAAAAAGGGAGTAATCAGTAACAAGTAAGAAACCTCGGAGCTCACGAATGTGGAACATAACTGCACGACCAGCTACCTGCTCAGTGCTCAATTAGCACATTCTGCTCGTCCAACAAACTTTGACAATAAGTTCAGAAAGTGGCGAACTAGAGCAACGAATAAGTTACATAAACTGTCATTATGAGATTATGTACATGTATATATAGCATAATAACATGATGTTTAAAATGACATAATTAGTCAGGGGAAGGAAGGCCTTCAAACTCTCTCTCTCCACTACACACTATGTTAAAAGCAATGAACTGAAGGGATTGAATGACACACACAAAACAAAATTAGCAAGCAGATTCTAACATTGTGAGCCAATAATATAATGGAATTATCTTGACTGGCAGGACAATAGGGAGAACAGATGAGAGTGTTTAGACCAAGATAGCCCGGACGGTCTGCTATTGTATTTGCATAATCTCTCTGGAGCCTTCGATTCAAGAAAATTCTAAGTTTAAATTATTTCTCGGCTGTACACTCCGGACTGTATGCTTTCTTTCCCAAACTGATCCCAAATCCATTCAACAGAGGCTGTGTGATAAGAATAGCGGCCGTTTTAAAGTGAAAGATTGAAATAAGAAGCGCAATTAGAATTAGAAGACGGGATAATGTGCAATTCAGAGAGTCTTCCAGTAATCAGTAAGGTGTAATTACCGTTTACTGTGGTACAATAGCAAACTTGCACGGAGAGAGAGATAATCTTCTTTCAACTACGCCGACAAATTGGCTCCTTTCTTCTTCTAACTTAGTGCACAAGATTGCAGTTTAGCAAACTACCTGCTCTCACATATCCTCACTATGTTGTGCTGCCCAGCGGCTCCAGTATCAGGAGCCACCAAGCCATGGCTTAAATGGTAATCCTGGTTACCATGGTAACCGACAATTAATATACATACAATGCGGATGAGGAAGCCCAGCAAGACTACTATAGCAGCTGCATCTGTTGCTGCTAAGTGTCTGTTGCACTAAACCTCGTTACTTTCTAACCACGTACTGAATTCTTTACATGCTTGTATAGTTAAATTGATCGAGTCAGAAAGACGTGGAAATACACATACGGTCGCGGTAGGAAGAGAACAGAAGTATAACTCGACTAGAATGCACATGGTATTTTATCATATTTATGGTCATTTTAACTGGCAACAAATGACGACGTCATGTACTTTATCGATGAACCGCGAAAGTATTACAGATTAGAGAAAGACTCGTATTATGGCAGATCTAAGAGTAAAATCAGGCACTCAAATAAACAGCAATCTTAATAATAGCATGAGCACTGAGCAGGCTCATAGCAAGAAGATCAAAGATTATTACAAAATTAAGCAGATTGATCAATCTAACATGTCGGGTCACTCGCAAATAATCGCCAAGTATTTTGCTACAGAAAATCTTAACAACCAATCGGATTGCTTTGGTATTTGCCATTCCAATATCAGCAGCCAGACAATCAAAAGTTCTCCTAATAATAATATATGAGCATACTGTACGTTAGCCCTCATATTAACTTTTATGAGTATTTCAATATTTAAAACGCCGGTCACTTATCCCCCTTTGGGTCACCGGTCGTGACACCAAGTGCCTGGTATTAATTGGGAAATGAGAAGCACATGACCAATAGATGTCATAAAGAGACAGATTATTAGAGCTCTATATACCTGTAGTTTAATAGATAATGAGCTAAGATCCAACAACTGAACTGATAGTTTGTATGTGAATTTACTTTCAGGTCAATTTGCTTGCAGGTGCCAGCAGTATATCGAATGCATTTAAATTAAAAGCGCGGATGTAGTTAACAGGATGTGGTAAAGTTCAGGTAATGTTCTATAAGCAATAAGGCTACACATAAATTGAGAAAGCAGTTCCGGGTGTAACAACTCTGATGAAGAGTGATAAAGTATAGAATAATCTAATGTGAGCATAGATAATCCACAAGGCTGTGTCAGTGGAAATAAGCCCTGATGATTACGGATTAGTCTAGAATCTCATTATCAACACCTGGTGCAGATCCTAATAATATCTAGCTTGGGACACACAAGATCGCAATTTTCTGTTGAATACAGCTTGACAAATGATAAATCTAAATTACATGACAATAACCTGAGAGATTGAGCAATATGTCACAATACAGTGTGTTGAAACTTAACAGCAAATAAATACACTGATCACCTTGGGGCGCGTTATCACTGTCTCAGGCTTAACTCATGAACTGGAACTGAAATCAACATAAACCTAGGAGGTAAGAAAGGAGAGTTAATAATAAGTTAATCATAATTAGTAGGGAGATTCATCATTTAAATCATAATGTTTGCTGCTGTAAAACATACAATTCTGGTATTCATCAGTATCTTATGAAATTAAATTCGTGACGACACTTTATTTCGACGTAGCTGTCAGCAGAGTATTGAATATGTAGCAATTCCCTTACTTTTAGCATAATTTGACAGGTATAACCAAAATCATTGCACCACCGTTTAATAAGACAACTTTAAGGTTAAAGTTTGGCGAGAAATTTAAAGTGGCTCAAGAATTCGATGTTTCACAATACAGCATAGTTATACTAATATTATTGAGTCAGAATTGGAGATCATTGTGAATTTGATTCACAATATAGTAACTCAGCTCTTGATTGGTATTTCATGTCGAATGACTTGAATTAAAGCACACAAATTAAAAACGCAGATTGATTACAAAGCATTCTCTCAATTTAATAACTTAAGTAGAATTGAAATTAATTTAAGACAAAACAAAAAGTGTTTTATCCCCATCAAAATTCTGCAAAAAAAAACAATTATATTCTGTGCAATCAAATTCTTAAATGTTTAACAATCAAAACAGATGCTATAATACATGCTTAGTTTTGCACATAACAGGATCGATTTTTCAAATTGGATGCATTAAAGATAAACCCATGACATCAAAATTACATTAAGATGCCAAAACTACTTACACAACTGATAATGCTATCAAATTCTTGCTACATCAAAAGCTGATTATTTTACTGTCAAAATATCGAAATTGAGTCAACCCACTTTAAAGTTTTAAGGATGATGTTCAATCATGTGAGCCTGATAAGCATCATTACAATCTGACAGTTGGATACAGTCCTCAGATACGGCAAACTTATACAAAACTAAGAAGACAAGCAAGTGCAGAACAATTGAGTAGAAGAATACTACTTGGCGAGCAATCTTGTCAGATAGAATCATCTTTCCCAAATTCAGGACTACACGCTCAGCTGAGTTGAGATTAACGTATTTGCGCTGTCTTTCTTTTCTGTTGAAGTCAGAAAATGGATCAATGTGTGCCTCATACTGTGAAGAGTATTTCGATGTAATATCATCATCTAGATTAAGGTTGGATGTTGACATTGTTTGCAAAAATTTGATCCTTTCATAAAGTTTCATGTTGTCGGTTCTAAGTGTAGAGTTATCTTGTTGCAAGACGGCATAACTACTTTTCAATTGCTGGAAGTCAGTTTCAAGCATCTGATTCTTAGCCTTGAACCTCTCCCTCTGACTGGTTACAATAGCAAGCATATCCACTGACTCCTCAGTTAGGGTATTGGTTACGCTTTCTACAACCTGAGAAGGCTCCCCATCAGCATCCTCCCTGACTCTGTGAGCTTGGAGCTGATTCAGATCCTGCTCCAATTGTTTGATCAGAACAATCTGTTCCTCCTGTTCGTTTTTACTGTACTGTACCTCACTCTCCAAGGCAGCAACTTGATTGCGATAATTGTGGACTTCAAGCCTCAGGTTTGAGTTATCTGCTTGCATTGCTCTATTTTTCTCGAGCAAAAGAAACTCAAGAGACTTTTCTGGATTGTTGTCAAAGGTTTGACTGAACTCTACACTTTTGAGAATGGTCAGCTCCTTTTTTATATCATGATAGTCGGAACATGCTTCAAGCTCTTTTAATGCATCCTCAAACTTGGAATTGGCAGTTTCCAACTCTTGGTCTTGTTGGAGGGATTTACTTCGAAACTCGGTATCTTTCAAAGCTATTTCAGTTTGCAGGTTGTGTGTTTCTTCAACCAACCGCAATATTTCAGAGTCCTTATTCTTTAAGTCTGCCTCAAGTAACCGTTGCTTAACTTTGATGTCACTTATCTCACTTTCCACACTAATTTGCGAAGTTGTTTTCTCATATTGCTCAATGAGCTGCCCACTCTGATTTAACCTGTGGTTGGCTACCTCGAGATCTGACAGATAAAGTTCGATTTCAGAGTTTTTATTCTTAATCTCTTCATCATATTTAGATTTGAACTCAAAAATTTCAGATTCAGCATTTTCAAGAGACTTCTGCAGATTCAAAATTGTAGCATTCTGCTCTGAAAGTTTTGATGAGAGTTCTTGATTGGTTTCCAGAAAGATATTTTCTTTCATTGTATAATCTTTAGTCAAATTGTCTTTCAATTCAACAACCTGGGCTTCAACTTCTTTGCTGATGTTGGATTGGCAATCCTCAAGCTTTTTCTTCAAACTTTCCAATTCAATTTCTTGAGATTTGTAAGAGGCAAATTGCAAATTATACTGCTCCAGTGTCTCTCTAAGCTGATTCTTTTCCAACTCGAGATCAGTCAGTGTAGATAGCTTTTGCTTACTGGCAACAGCCTGGTTGAGTAGAGGTGCTGGGTCAGGTGCATCAGAGAGTTTTTTATAAACTGTCAAAAAACAGGACTCTGCTGCTTTGCTTCTTCGTGTTAGGCTGTCTATCTCTGACTGAAATGCTTTTACAAGAGGAGACACAGTCTTTCTGACTTCATCAGTCGCAGATTTTTTGAATTCTTTACTCATTTCAATAAGCTTTTTGCGACCGAGCTCTGCCTCATCTTGGCGAACAGTCATATCCCCAGCATATTGATCAAGCTGTTTTTGGAAAGCACCCAAGCCAAATTCATTCCAAAATTCTTTGGAAGGCTCAAGAGTCACCACCATTCGCAAAACCTAAAAACAGATCAATTAGTTTAGAAATCATTTTGGAAATAAGAAATAAGTAAAAAATTAAATATAACTAAGCATGCAGTAGAACCCAGATTTATCGTACCCAGATTTACCATAATCCCTGATTTACTGTATCCCTTCCCTTTCCCCAACATTGTTTTAAAAATTTCTAGTGTCTACATTTCAGTTAGATATCACTTGATTCATTGCACAGTAAAACCCAGATTTACTGCGTCGGACTTACTGCGCCTGATTTACCGCAAACCCCGATTTACCACTGTGTTTCTTTTCCCCAAACTCTACGGTAAATCAGGGTTTTACTGAACTAAACAGCTCATAAACATGATTCTGATGTCAAGTAAGATCTAGACTGTCAGGCTTGTTATTACCTCTATCTACCCCTTACTTGATTGCTTATTAACTGTAAACATTGATTGGGAACCGTGGGGTAAAAAACCATTTGATCCCACTGGCTTAAGTTTTAAAAGTTTATAACAACTATAAGGGGAATTGGCTTATTCCATGTCAAAAGATATCTATGGATCTAGATACTGGTGGAGAGTTGGTATAATAATAAACTTTTTCAAACTCTCCTACTCTCCCTACTAATGGGTCAGAGCAGGATCAACAACCTAACATCATCCCTCCAGCTCGACGTGAGAGGAAGGCTCGCACGGAGACTTCCACTCGGCACACGTGGAGCAAGGAGGACAACATACAGCTCATGACGCTGTATTACCAGAGCCAACCATCCCGCTCTGGTTACAGGAGAAGACTCCGATCACTGTGGGATGATGCCGGACTCTTCACTTGTACGGAACAAAGATTGGCAGACCAAGCAAGGTCAATCAGAAATAATAATCTCCTTTCAGACATAGAACTACTGGAGATTCGAGGTACTCTTCCACCTAGCGTAGTGGAAAAGGCTCCAACAACGACAACTCAAGCTTTACCCACAGTCTCCCAAGCAATCAGGACGTTGAGGGATGCAACTATCCCAACTGTCGCCGCTGAAGAACTCACCCCCACCACAACGGTACCTGATTTTGACAAGGAGGCAATCATTGAACGGCTAAAAAGGCTCCTAGAAGACCCTTCAGTGATAGAAACCAAGCCCCTGAGACATGTGAACAGAAAGAAGCTTATGGAGGAAACATCTCTCATCAACTCATGTATAGCAGAGATTCCAACTTCTTCAATCACTGAAACCAACACCCTATTGCTTGCAGGGGCACATTTAGTCAGCGAAAGACTTGGTGAAAAACCTGCAAATAAGAATACAGGGAAACGGAAAACTCCACTATGGAAAAGAAGAATCGAAGATAAGATTACCCAGGTTAGGAAAGACATCTCCTACCTTGAGGAGAAGAAGAAAGGTACTACCCTTAAACAAAAAATACTAGAAGGGCTCAACAGACGTCACCCTCTGTTGAAGAAAAAGGGTATACCATGCATCATTGAGGAGCTCAAGCAACGTCTTCGCGCAAAAGCAGCTAAGATAAAGAGATTTAATAAAAGATGCGAACGATACCACCAGAACAAGTTGTTTGGAAACAACCAGGGGCAGTTCTACAGAAACCTTCAAACAAACCCTGAAGAACAGGATATCTCCCACCCTGAGGCTGACAAGGATTCTTGTCTGAAGTTCTGGAAGAACATATGGGAGCAGCCGGTTGAACACAACAGTGATGCTGAATGGTTACCGGATGTCAGAACAGCACTAGCCTCAGCAGATGAACAGAGACAGTTTGTTATAACTAACACCCTGGTTGCAGATAGAGTGAAGAAAATGACTAATTGGTCCTCTCCTGGTACAGACGGACTGCATGCTTATTGGATAAAGCACTTTAAAGAACTCCACAATAGGATTGCAGATCAACTTATGAATTGCCTAACCAACGCTGATATCCCAGACTGGATGACATTGGGACGCACGTACCTGCTCATCAAGGACCACTCGAAAGGACCCATCCCAGGCAATTTCAGACCGATTACTTGCTTATCAGCTATGTGGAAACTGTTCACTGGTCTAATCTCAGATTCCATTTACCACCATTTAGACCAGCAAAAGCTCCTCCCCCCTGAGCAGAAAGGGTGCAAGAAGAAGAGTAGAGGATGTAAAGAACAGTTAATGATAGACAAACTCATCCTGAAGAACTGTAAACGAAGGAAGCGGAACCTGAACATGACGTTTATAGACTACAAGAAGGCGTATGATAGCGTCCCACACTCCTGGATTCTATCTTGTTTGACCATGTGTGGCATCTCTTCATGCATCATAGACCTGTTTGAAGCCTCCTTCAAACAATCGTATGTTAACCTGATGCTTGGTAAAGTTTCCCTTGGGAGAATTAAAATTAATAGAGGTCTATTCCAAGGAGACTCAGTCTCACCTATCCACTTTATCATTAGTCTTATACCCCTGTCCATTCTTTTGAATAAGCATGACATAGGATACTCTCTGGAGAGAGGAGGTCAACCGAAAGTGTCGCATAGGCTATATATGGACGACCTCAAGTTGTATGCCGAGAGTGAAGACGAAATGCACACACTGGTTAATACCACAGCAGAGTTCAGCAGTGACATAAAAATGGAATTTGGGCTAGAGAAATGTGCCGTGGTGAAGGTGAAGAAGGGAGCAAGAGCCGTTTTTGAAGGCATCTCCCTACCCACAGGTGAACAGATCCATGAGTTGGAGGACGACGGCTATAAGTATCTGGGAATACTAGAAGCCAATGATATACTACACAAAGAGATGAAAGCACTGGTTACAAAAGAGTATATCAGAAGAGTTAAAAAGGTTTTGAAATCCCAGCTTCATGGCAGGAATAGTATACAAGCGATTAACACCTGGGCTGTACCTGTGATAAGATATGGAGCTGGAATTCTCTCATGGAATGCTGGGGAGACCAAAGCCTTAGATGTCAAGACCCGGAAACTGATGAGGATACATGGAGCTCACCACCCCCAAGGAGATGTTGATCGGTTATACGTCAGCCGTCAACTGGGTGGCCGTGGGCTACATAGTATAGAGGAAGTCGTTAAGAGAGAGGAGAATGCACTCACCACTTATGTGGTGAGAAGTAGAGACCCAGAACTGATTGCTCTGAAGGACTACTTTGTCAAAGACAAGATACTCTTGGGTGAAGAGATAGAGAAAGATATTGACCGAACACAACGCGAGGAAATCCGCAAGGAGAAATGGACTGCTAAAGTGATACACGGACAGTTCCCAAGGCAGATGATGGGTACAGCAGACCCGTTAACCTCTTGGAACTGGCTCACCCAACAAGATTTGAAGAAGGAGACAGAAGGATTGTTGATAGCAGCCCAAGACCAAGCACTTAGGACTAATTACGTGAAGCACAGGATTGACAAAACACCTGGCTCTTCTCCCCTCTGCAGACTCTGCAGAAATCATTACGAGACAATAGACCACATACTGAATGGGTGCCCAAAACTTTCACAGACAGAATATAAGTGTCGGCATGACAAAGTAGCTGCCGCATTGCACTGGAGTCTGTGCAAGGAATACGGCTTCCCACGCAGTAAAAGGTGGTACGAACACCGGGCAGAGAAGGTGCTGGAGAACGGACAAGTCAAGATATTGTGGGACTTCCATGTCCAGTCGGACCACGTTATCGAACACTGTAGACCGGATCTCCTCCTGGTAGACAAGGTAACCAACGCAGCAACCATCATTGACGTTGCAGTCCCAGGAGATACCCGGATCTTGGATAGAGAACAAGAAAAGATTCTGAAATATCAAGACCTGAAAAGAGAAATTAAGAAGAACTGGAATTTACGAAAGGTCACAATCGTCCCTGTGGTGATAGGCGCATTAGGAACTATCACCATAAACTTTCGTAAACACCTCGACGCAGTCCACTGCAATCTGAGCATCTCTAATCTCCAGAAGACAGCTCTGCTTGGATCAGCCAGGATTCTCAGGATGGTCTTAGACATATAATATATTTGAGTGTATAATACACTGTAAATACTCTTTTTTTTTAGTTTAATTTTCACTGGGTACTCTAATAAACACTTTTTACCTGGTCCTCTTATTTTTTTTCCCTTGCTATGCAAGCCCTGTCTCTTGTTTATACAATTTTTAACTCGTATATTGGGTAGATTGAGTATTTATTATGGATTTTATATTGTTGTTAGCCCTGCTGATTTGTGTATTAGTAATGATTACCTATCTGATGGACTACGGTATATACAGTTGATGGTAGTTTTCTCTTATTTTTCTTCTCTTGCTCTGCAAGCCCTGATTCTTGTATAAACATATTGTTTGATATAATATTGTATATTTTTGTATTGATTGTGGTATTTTGTGTGCCAGATTCAGCAATGGGTTCTTGCTGAATCACTGTATATTACACTCTGTGACTAGTCCCTTTGATCCATCTCTTGCCCTGCAAGCCCTGTTTCTTGTCTATACAGCATATAATTATCATGTATCACATTGTAGTATGTAATAAACATTTGTAGTAGTGTAGGATTGTTTGAATTTCTTTTTGCTATGTTTTATAATATTTATTTGTATAATTTGTGAGTGTTTCTCCCGCTTTTCTTCCCTTGCGCAGCAAGCCCTGTCTCTTGTAAAAACAACCTTGAAAGTTTTGTAGATACATATAGTTTCTACACCTTTATCCTCTGGTCCCTAGGGTCAGCTGATCCCGGGCCAGAGGAAAACTACCGACTGCCAAGGTCTGACGCCTAGGCAGTCGAGACCTCTTATTGAGACCCTTTATAATAATAATAGTAATAAACACTTTTTACCTGGTCCTCTTATATCTCTTCCCTTGCTATGCAAGCCCTGTCTCTTGTTTATACAATTTTTAACCCGTATATTGGGTAGACTGTGTATTTGTTATGTATTTTATATTAAATACAGTTTTGTGTACAAGTAATTATTGTTATTTACTGGACTAAGGGGTATACATGTGTTGGAGTTTTTCTCTTATTCTTCTTCTCTTGCTCTGCATGCCCTGATTCTTGTATAAACATGATGTTTGTTTAAATATTGTATATTCTTGTATTGATTGTGGTATTTTGTGGGTCAGATTCAGCAATACCCAATGGGTACTTGCTGAATCACTGTTTTATACACTCTGTAGCCAGTCCCTGTGTTCCGTCCCTTGCCCTGCAAGCCCTGTTTCTTGATAATACAGCATTTATTTATCGTGTATTACATTGTAGTATGTAATAAACATTTGTAGTAGTGTAGGATTGTTTTAATTTCTTTTTGCTAGGTTTTATAATATTTATTTGTATAATTTGTGATTGTTTCTCCTGGTTTTCTTCCCTTGCGTAGCAAGCCCTGTCTCTTGTAAAAACAACCTCGAAAGATTTGTAGATACACATAGTCTCTACACCTTTACCCTCTGGTCCCTAGGGTCAGCTGATCCCGGGCCAGAGGAAATCTACCGACTGCCAAGGTTTGACGCCTAGGCAGTCGAGACCTCTTATTGAGACCCTTTATAATAATAATTCTATACAGTTACATAATTGAAACAATTATGGCCCCTTATTGTGGACAGAGTATGTGTCTTCATTGAAGTGTCCTGGTATAAACTTATCTGAGTGACTGCATTAAAATAATTTAAGGAGAGTTCTCTTAAAACATTGGGGATAAATACTAAGACCTAAAAAATCAAAACAAAATGCAGCCACCTAATTTGTTGTTAAGCTTTCTCTCCTCCTACGATTGACTAGTGGGACCATCTTTGAGGAGTATTAGGAACTTAGACCATTACAAATACCGTACTGTAAATTTGCAAGGTATGTGGACTAAGTGGGTCGAGAGTACTCGACTTGAAAGTGGGTGTTGACAATGTGGGGAGAGTTGGACTGTCTAATACAAAACAGTAATTTAATCAGCTTCTATAATATAACCAGCTTAAGTTACCCATAACTTTTTGATATAAAATACCTTTGGATAGTATTGTGTTTTGGTAAATTTTAACGCCTAAAAATTGGCCAAAAGAAGACATTGTGATATCGTCTGATAGCACTGAGTCTTATGAGCCCCGATGCAGTGGATTGGCTTAGGATTAGTAAAACAAATTTTTTTTAGTAAAACAAATTTTATTTTATACCCACAATCAATTCATATTTAGTTCATGTTATATATTCTAGTAATTTATTGTATGATTAACCGATATACTATTCAGGATGACTACCTGGGTTTTGGTTTTGGTTTAGCTTTTAGCTTTTAGTCTTGCGTTTACCTTGTCACAACGATTCATAACAATGGCGACGAGTCTGGTTTCGAACTTACGCTTATCCAAGGAACACGATTGTGTCAGAGAGTGGCTGGAAATCTTTGAAAACGCTGCTTCTGTCTTCATTTTCGCACACGCAGATAAGTTACCAGATGACGCAGAAGAGAAAACTGCTAAAAAAGCAGAACTCATGAGAACACTGTTAACAGTCAATCTGGGGCCTGACGCGTTGAAGAAGTTGCGTGCATTTACATTTCCAGATGAAATTAAAGACACTACCTACGCTACCCTGAGAAAAACTCTTGTTGATCAGTTATCACCCAAAACAAACATTGTAGCTCAACAGCAGAAGTTTATGACGTTGAATCAGATTGCTGGTGAATCCTTATGTACTTTTATGTCACGATTGAAGGAAGCTGCTAATGTTTGTCAGTTCGGTGATTTGTTTGATTTAAAGGATGAGGGGACCTTAGAATTTACTTCCAAATATTCGCGTTTAAGTCCTGTGAAAGTGTGTAGAATCAAAAAATACGCCGGACTGTGAAATCGATAATTCGTGCAATATCACGCCGCGCTCCTATTGGCTGATAGCAATTTTGGGCTGTGACGTCACTTATGTATGTGTTAAGACCAACGTGCGCTGCGTGCACACCCTTCGCTCGTGTCAACATTTTGTTTCTGTTCTGTTTTAATTACGTCGTGTTACCTTTGGCGTTTGTGAGAGCGGTATCTTTGGTTGCACTGAATTAGTCTAAGTTTGAAGTTACGAATAATTCTCATTAATAGTTAAATGTAACTCAGAAAGGCTTTCTTCTAGTTGTAGTAGGTATTTCTATTTATAAATAGCTAAGATAAGTAGCATTCGCTAGCTAAACCACAAACTGCTATTTTGTTTTGACTTGTTTGAAACCCGATATGGACACAATCTAAAAATCGATTGAATGTATGATGTAGTAGAAGACATTTTACTAGCTGGCCCTGGCGCCTCTAGTCCTATCTGAGTGCGCACGTGCGGTTTGACACTGAGCGTGTACCGGCCTTTAGTTGTACACTCATTTATAATTTACCGTTTTAGTTTGCTGTGACTTGAGTGTAAAGCGTAACGAATGTGGATGTGTTCGTCTGCTATGCTTGGTATAATATTGTTTGGTGTAATAGTTGCAAATCTTGCTTACGTTATAAGTAGTGTCACATAGTGAGTTAGAACTTAAAAGCTTGCTGCTTGTCCAACTGGAATGAAGACATGCATTTCATACCTACCCGATCCATTTTTATTAGGACCGTGTTGTGTTGATATGACATGTTGATATATCAACTGTGATACAATACAGGGGGTTGCTAGGTGTTACGTTGGGAGCTATAAATATACATAATTTACATGCCTTTCTGTGTGACTTCAATCTTATTTCAGGTGTATCTCGGCTCATGGTTATCGTAGGGTGATAATTCTTTTTTCAACCGGTCATAAAAAGTCTCCTCTCCATTGGTTATAGGCTCGTTAGTATCGTAAATTGTTAATGTATTCTTAATTAGTAATTTAGTCGGCCCGCACGCTCATTTTACCTGTATTTCTATATGCGCGGATCAGAGCAACTCACATAATTGACGTCACAGGTTCAAATTGTTTTGGCTGGATATCTCGGCGCGCGAATGAAATACAACTTTGCGGATTTCACTAAAGTGGTTTTTACGATTAATGTAATAATAGGATTTGCACGAGAAAAAAACTTTTTCTAAGGTCCCCTCATCCTTTAATGGTGCGTACACGTTTTGTGGCTGGACTATCCTCTGATAGGATACGTGCTGAACTCATATCAGAATCTGCTACCAACGACACGTCTGCCAGCCTGTTTGATAAAGCTCAGACGAAGGAGAACGCTCTGCAAAGTTCAATTTCAGTCATAACACACTTTGTTCAAAAACCCGGGAAGTTTCAAAAACCTCAAAACTCTAAGTTCCATCAGAAGGCCGACCTTAGCATTGTTTGTTCACGTTGTACTGTTCGTGGTCATGTTGCGAAAAACTGCAAAGTTCGTTGCAGAAACTGTCGCAAACCCGGACATATCGCGAAGAACTGTCGTTCTGCTAAGAAGCAATCCCATTGTGTTGAAGGGATTGGTGATCATGATGATGGCAACGCTTGCGCTGCTGATTATGGGTACACACATCAAGAGTCGGAGAACACGTTGTACTGCGTGGAGACGGCTGATCCTGTCCAGATTCCAGTACAGACTCCTGTTCCCGATGGTACTCTTCCTGCATCAGTTGTTAGTAATTTATCCAGTTGGATTGATTGTAATCAGAAACCATTTCTTAAAGTTAAGATTAATGATAAGATTTTGAAAATGGAGTTAGATACTGGTTCATCTTTAAGCTGTATAAGTAAGTCTGATTTTGCTAGACTAGGACTAACTGATTGCCAGATTGTTCCATGTTCCCAGAAATTGCGAGTAGCTAATTTTAATTGTGAAAGCATTCACTGCAAGGCCCTTGTAAACGTTGAATTTAGAGGTAAGAAATGGATTTTACCACTATATGTTGTCGATTGTCGGTTTCCCACACTCCTAGGTCGAGAGTGGATCATCCAGATGTTTGGTAAAGACTGGTTGGATCATATGATAGGACTTGTTGATGTTGAGCAATCTTACGCTGTCTCCAAGCTTCAGAGAGATGAATTTGTTAGTGAGATACTCCGCAGTCCTGTGTTCGATCCTGGTGTTGGAACTGTTAAAGAATTCGAAGCTTGTCTACAATTTAAGCCTGATGCGAGAGCAAAGTTTTGCAAGGCAAGGCAGGTCCCATTTACCATCGTAGACAAGGTTGGGAAAGCCATAGACGAGTTAGTGAAGAATGGACAGCTGATTCCAACAGAGCACTCAGACTGGGCTTCACCCATAGTTCCTGTCATGAAAGCGGATGGTACGATTCGCATATGTGGTGACTACAAGACTACCGTAAATCCTAATCTTGACACAGCTATTTACCCACTTCCTAGGATAGAAGATTGCTTGAGTAAGATTGTCGGAGGTAAACTGTTTACTAAGCTGGATATCAGAGCCGCTTATAATAGTTTGAAGTTAAGAGAATGTGACCAAAAGATTGTGACTTTGAACACACACAAAGGATTGTTCAGTCCTACTTCTCTACCATTCGGTATTTCATCTGCCGGACCGATATTTGAACGCAAGATTGATGATACCTTGAGAAAGACAGAGAACACAGCATGGCGTGTTGACGACATTCTAATAACTGGACCTGATGATGAGAGTCACATGAAGAACGTGAGAACGGTGATTACAGCACTAAAGAAAGAAGGCTACAAATGCCGGCTAGACAAGTGTGTTTTCATGGAGCCTAAGGTTACATTTCTTGGCCATGAAGTATCTGCTGACGGGATAAGACCGCTGAGTTCGAAAGTTGAAACCATAGTGAGAGCACCGTATCCTACTACTAGAGCGGAGATGATATCATTTCTTGGTGGTGCACAGTACTATTCACGTTTTATTCCCAACATGTCAACAGTTGTTGAACCACTTAACCGTTTAAGACCCGCTGACAGTATTTTCCACTTTGGAGATAGAGAAAAGAGAGCTTTTGATGAGTTAAAAGCACTGTTATCGTCTGACTTGGTTCTAACAGTCTACAACCCTGAGCTGGAGTTAAAGCTTGACACGGACGCTTCATCCGTTGGTTTAGGAGCTGTTATGTCACATATTGATGAAAATGGGACAGAGCGACCGATCGAGTATATATCTCGAACTCTAACGAAATCTGAGAGAAACTATTCCATGATAGAAAAAGAAGCATTGGCAATAGTTTGGGCGACTAAGAGACTGCACCGTTATCTTTTTGGACGACCGTTTACCCTAGTTACAGACCACAAGCCGCTGGAATCTATCTTTCACCCTAGTCGTGGAATTCCTAGCATGGTGGCAGGTCGTTTACAACGATGGTCATTGTTCCTAAGCGGTTACACTTACAAGATCCAGTTTCGACCCACTGGTAAACATTGTAATGCTGATCTATGTTCCCGTTTTCCACTGCCTTTAGACACATCGGCAGAGACGAGAGAGTTTGATGACGAGTTAACAGAGGAGTTTGAAATGAAACCTCTAGATACTCTTTTCAGCGTGCACTACTTCGGTGATGACAAACCTTTGATTGACGCTGAGTTAATAGCTAGTCACACGAGAAGAGACAAGACACTTGGTCGAGTGTTACAGTTTGTTAAAGACGGCTGGAACGAGAAACCCCCTGTTGATGTCGAGCTGAAACCGTTTTACACACGTCGAAACGAGTTGTCAGTAGACCAAAACTGTATTGTCTGGGGATCTCGAGTTTTTATTCCAGAGAGTATGAGAAAGAGCGTGCTTTCAATGCTTCATGTAACACACATGGGCATTTCACAGACCAAAGCACAAGCGAGAGGCTATGTTTATTGGCCAAACATGGATGCTGAGATCGAGAAAATGGTTAAACTATGTGAACCATGTCAACTAAACCAGAAGAAACCCGCTAGATCTACACCACACCCATGGGCTAAAACTATGGAGGCTTGGGAGCGGATTCATCTAGATTTCTGTGGACCCTTTCTTGGATCTATGTGGCTGATAGTTATCTGTTCGTATTCAAAATGGTTAGAAGTTGTTAGAATGACGAACATTACAAGTAAGAGAGTGATTCAAGAGTTACGAGATATCTTTAGCCGTTGGGGACTACCCAAGATACTAGTATCAGACAATGGATCGAGTTTAACTTCAGAAGAGTTTAAAGTATTCACGAATAATAACCAGATTCGACACGTGCTTATTCCTGCTTACTCACCTGCAAGTAATGGACAAGCAGAAGTTGCAGTCGGACTGTTTAAAAGAGCTATGAAACGGATGATCTTGAAAAACCCTGACGTTATGTGTAACCTGGCTGACGCTGACTGGCTACTAAACTACCGCAACACACCATAAACCACTACCGGAGTAGAGCCTGCAGTTGCGATGATGAAACGACGGACGAGAAACGCCTTGAGTTTTCTACACCCGAGTTCGAGTAGTAAGTTTGCCAAAGTTGCTTTAAACGATCAGAACACGATTGCTGAATCGAGACTTCGTGATCTGAAGATTGATGACACTATATCGTTCTATGATGAGAACAAGAAGTGCTGGAGAAACGGTGTTATCGAGGGTAAGGAAGGTACCAAAGTGCTACTGATCAAGACACCTGATGGAGTCTACCGCAAGCATTTGGACCAGGTGATCAAGAGATCTGTTGTGTCAGAGCCGTTGCAACAAACAGATCCGGATACACCGAGAGTTGAGCTGGAGATAAGAGATGAGCAGAGTTCTACAGCTATTGATGGTGATTTCGAGAAGACAGCTAGCTTACCTGAGAGTACAGAGCCGGAAACTTCGATTATAGTTGGTAATAATCCAAATCTACCCGCCGAGCCTGACCATAAGGCAGCCGTTGAACCTATAATCACTGCACAACCTGTACTTAAACCACGTGAGCTTGCCATAGAAATTAACCGTAGCACTATAAAACCTAATATTGTTAGAGAGCATGAATTGCAACAACCTAATTTGCTTCTGCCAGCAAACTTTGCACGTGATAGTAAACCACCAGACAGGCTAAGTTACCGCAAACTGGGAGGAACATAAAACACGTTTCATTATCACATTTTATGACAGTTGTTTTATTTTGAATGTGTAAATCTAACCACACATTAATCCAGTTAAATTATCCAGATCAAACGTAAAGTTATAAATATTCCCTGTCACGTTTATGTTTTGAAGAGAAACACGTTATTTTTTGTTTTAAACGGAATGCGCTAAGTTTTAAATCGTGTAGCGAGCGCAACACGTTCAATATTTTCACGTGAGTTCAATTCACACTTTTGTAGATTTCATTTTGACCACGTTTTCAAACATTTTAAATTTTGAACGATTGATTTATATCACATTTTTTTACGAATTCAGTTAAATTATTAAATCTATATTGTTTTTAACACTTTTTAGTTCAACGGGATGTTATATATATTCTAGTAATTTATTGTATGATTAACCGATATACTATTCAGGATGACTACCTGGGTTTTGGTTTTGGTTTAGCTTTTAGCTTTTAGTCTTGCGTTTACCTTGTCACAACGATTCATAACAGTTCAAATATTTAAAGTCAAAATAAACATTTCACATAAGTGGTTTTATTATAATAAAATAATTTGTGATAAATTAATAAATTAATTTACATACTTTTTTAAAATAGGATAATGTTTTTGATGAAATTGTTTTTAAATATTGTATTTGATAATTAATTAATGTTGGTGCCCGGAAATATTTATTATATATTTTTTCACACAGTGCGATGATAGTTTGTAGACATGTGTGATGATGTGATGTCATAAATTTTACTTTACTTTACTTTACTTTACTTCACTCAAAAATGTATAAAATTAACACAATTTTTACCTAGTGCAACACTGGTTCGGCACGCAGCTTTCCCCAGACGGCTTTTATCGGAGTGCGTGTTAATTATATACGTAGTTTTGCAGTTTTGTTACGTGTTGAAAACAGAGCTCCCTTATCTCTGTTATATCGGCAATTTTTAACTGCCAGTTGCCCCTGCTACTGCACATTGTTGGTGCTGTGCCTTTAACGGTACTATACAAGTACTATACAAGTACTATACAAGTACTACAATGACTGATTGCTTAAAATTAAAGATTGACGGGCGAACCCCGCGAGGGAAGCTTCTTATCACGTGGTCCAAAACCCAAGATTTTGACCCTGGATTAGGTCATATTGCTTCAAGTGGCGCTTGCAAATCCTGCAATGCTCAGCCGGGTGACCAGCTTTTGGAATGCATGAAATGTAAATCCAAGTACCACAACCTCTGTTTAACAATTCCCCTCTCCAGTGACGTCCTTGCAGCTATGGAGAAGAACCCCTGTACCTGGTGGTTCTGTCCCAACTGCATAACTACGGGTAATCTGACCGACAACAAGAAGATCTCCTTTGAGACGGGTAATGACGCAGACTCTGAACAGGTTGGATCGGGTGGTATGGACAGTGATCAGTTCAGAAGTGAAATGAAAGATTTCAAAGTGGATATCCTTAAAAGTGTTCATGATGCTATTGATGCTAAGCTTGGTCCATCAGGGCCCCAAAGTTCTAACTCTCAAAAATTCCTTATGTCCGATCTATTTACTAACAAGTCGCAGGAAAGACAGCAGGAGGTATTCCAGGCATCTACCATGGGCAGTCCTCCACAGATGCAGCAATTGGCACCTCGTCCTAGGATCCAGTCCAAGAGTTCAGTGCTTATATTATCTCCCCCTGAAGATGTCACAGCTGAGTCCGCTGAGTCCGTTTGCAATAATGTATGTGAGAAATTGTCATCAGTACAAACGGACTTTGTAAAGGTTAACAAATCCAATAACTCTATCGCAATTGGTTTTCCTGATTCAGAGGCAAGGCAAAATGCTACTCAGTTGATTGATGAAGATTCTTCAAAGGGATATACTTTGCGTGAAGCAAAGAAGATGTATCCAAAGTTAACAATAGAGAACGTCCATAGGGACGATGCCTTCCGCAGACTTACAGCAGACGATGATGATAAACTAAGAGATAAGTGCAGATCGCTACTGAAACCGTCCATCTTGGCCAAAAATGACGGAGTACGCAAGCTTGTGGATGCTGGTCACAAATTGGAGGTTGTGTACATGTCACGTTTTACTGAAAATAGCAAGTATTTCACATTTGCACTTAAAGTCTCTCCTGCTATCCGATCTTGCATCATGAATGACCAAGGAAGAGCTCTTTATTTTGGAAATACCTGCCATCCTGTGTCCGATCGAGTTCATGTTGTTTCTTGTTACCATTGTCAAGGAATTGGTCACACTTCTACAAACTGTCCTACCAAGGTTGATGATCCAACTTGCTTCCGCTGCTCAGGAAACCACCTGTCTAAAGATTGCAGTAACAAGTCCAAAAGTGAAGCAAAGTGCTGTGCCAGGTGCAAAAACTCGAAGAATCCCAGTGATAAAGCACAGCACAAGTCCCATAATGCAGCATCAATGGAGTGTCCAATCATTGCCAGAGAGATGCAGAGGCTAGTGATGAATACAGAATATGACTCAAAAAACATGATGTGACACCAGGACACCATCACAGTCCACCCCATGCTCTGAAAATGGCAACCTTTAATGCAAGATCCATTTGCAACAAAACGGTATCTGTACTAGAGCTACTGAGAGAAGAGAACGTGGATATTTGCTTCCTGACAGAGACCTGGCTGAGAGTTGATGATAAGGCCAAAATCGCTGAGGTGAAAGACCACAAATATGATATTATTAGTGCTCCAAGACGTGGGAGAGGTGGCGGTGTTGCCTTCATCTATGACCCAAAGGTTGTCTCTCTGACAAGAAACAGTATGAAGTTTAGTTCCTTTGAGGTTTTGGAAACTGTCTTCAGAGCAAAATCTCACTTGATCAGATTTTGTGTCCTTTATCGATCAACTCAAGTTTCTTCTCATAAGAAATATCAAGAAACCCGAAAGAAATTGTTTCTTGAACAGTTTTCTGATTACATGGATACCTTGATAACTAAATCTGGTATTCCTATATTAGCAGGGGATTTCAACTTTCATGTAGAGGATCCAGACTATTGGGCTAAACAATTCATGGCACTCTGTCATTCAAAAGGCTTGAAGCAGCATGTTTCCTCACCAACACACATCTCTGGCGGCACACTGGACCTAGTGCTAACATTGGAATCACCGGCTGACAACTTAAACATCACAGAGCTTGAAATTGTGGAAGACACGGGCACAACGTCAGATCACTTCCTGGTTAAGTTTAGTGCACCCGAGATTGATGTGTCATCAAAGCAGCCAAGTAAGGAACAAAAAACAGTTCGTGAGTTTAGCAAAATTGATATTGATGCTTTCAAAGCTGACATTGTACTCCACATGCCATCTCCATCCCAGCTAACTAGTTTAGATGACGCAGTCGACAAATACGATTCTGTTATATCCTCAGTTCTTAATAAGCATGCACCAGCTAAGAACATCTATTTTATACCTGGTCGTAGTGACTGGTGGAATGAAAACTGCAATGATGCCCGTAAAAAGCGCAGAGCTGCTGAAAGACTCTGGAAGAAGCATAAAAGTATGGCTGATGCTCAAGATTATAGAGAAATCTACAGGGAAGCTTGTGTAGATACTACCTTAATCATCTCTAGAAAACGGAATCGCTATTATGAGAAACGACTTACAGATGCTAAAGGAGATCCTAAAGCTACATAAAGAATTATAAATAACCTTCTGGATAAAGATCTTTCTCAGAAGTCCCCTTCTGGGCCCACGCATCAAGCAGTTGCAGAAAGTCTCAAAAACTACTTTGACGATAAAGTAAAGAAGATTTATGGGTCTATCTCAGAGGAAAGCCTGTCCAGTGCTGATAATCAATCTGACGACAAACCTTGTGTAAAAGAGTTAGAGATGCCTAATGATACACATAGTCCTCTACCATGCTCTGCTACAGCTTTCAGATTAGTTACTCGATCAGAGGTTCTTTCCCTGATTACTAAGACGATGAATAATAAGTCGTGTGAACTCGATCCTCTTCCAACATGGCTCCTCAAGCACTGTCTCGATGAATTGCTCCCTCATATCACCCTCATAGTTAACCTATCCCTCCAAGAGGGCTATTTTCCACATGCTCTGAAGTCTGCTATAGTACGACCAGTCCTAAAGAAAGCCTCTCTAGATGCAGACGACTTGAAAAGCTATAGACCTGTGAGTAACCTCAGTTTTATTTCCAAGGTTATAGAAAAGTGTGCCCACTCACAGTTTTCCGAGTACCTAAATAAGAACAATCTTTTCGCAGCAAATCAATCAGGTTACCGGAAAAACATGAGCTGTGAAACTGCAGTGCTCAAGGTACATAATGATATACTCCTCCAAGTTG